GTGATCGTGTTGACTGTGTCCGGTGGGATTTTTAGTTGGTTCTTCATAAAGTCCTTAACCAGTACTTCGGGGTTGTTGGGTGATTGTTCTAAAATCAGGTTATCACGCATGTTTCTAGTTTGAATGTCCAGTATCGTTTCTTTCATCATTTTGTTTTCTTTCATCACGGAGTCCATTTTGTCGCTGAGGGTTTTGATGGATATTTGGAGAGAGTTGTTTGACTGCTCTAACTTTTCAATGTAATTGTGAGTGAATTCAAGGCTTGTCCGGAGTTCTTTTATTTCCTCATGAAGTATGACCAATAAATCGAGTTTTTTATTGATGGATGCAAAAACACTGGCTTCAATGTCTGTCACCTGTAGATCGCTTGTATCCGTAGAAGAGGTCTTTTTCCATTTGTTTGGTTTTGGTGTATCTTGTTGGTTTGTACTGGCGGTATCCATACTGCAGTGAATGTAGTATTGGTCGATGAATGATTCCAGGTCTGACAAATCCTCCAGTATGTGAAAGGTCCGTTGTGGTTATTGGCAGCAGCTTGCGATTCCGATGGATTGCTCGTGTAATACCCGTAGTGGGTTATAAAGTCCAAAAAAAGAAATGAGCAAATAGTTAGCCAAGTGTTTTGATTATCCTCAGTGACTGTGCATCGCCATGTTGAATTTCCCCTGCACTGTCTCACAATCTTGCGATAGTCAGCAGGTCATCCTTTCGTCAGGTGTCTGGATGAATGGGATGACTAGAAATGTTTTTTTTGTTATTTCTTCTTCAAAGACTAACTTGTCCATGCATCCATCCATCCATCCATCTTCTTCCGCTTATCCGGAACCAGGTCGCAGGGGCACCAGTCTAAGCAAAGATGCCCAGACTTCTCTCTCTCCAGACACTTCCTCCAGCTCCTCTGGAGGAATGCTGAGGCCTTCCCAGGCCAGCTGAGAGACTTAGTCCCTCCAGCGTGTCCTAGGTCTTCCCCGGGGCCTCCTCCCGGTGGGACATGCCCGGAACACCTCCTTAGGAAACAGATGCCTGAGCCACCTCAGCTGGCTCCTCTCAATGTGACCGAGCTCCTCACCTTATCTCCAAGGGTGAGCCGAAGCCACCCTGCGGAGAAATCTCATTTCGGCCACCTGTATCCAGGATCTTGCCCTTCCGGTCATGACCCAAAGCACACGACCATAAGTGAGAGTAGGAACGTAGATCGACCAGTAAATTGAGAGCTTCACCTTACAGCTCAGCTCCTTCTTCACCACAACGGACTGGTACACTGACCGCATTACTGCAGAAGCTGCACCAATCCGCCTGCCAATCTCCCATTCCATCCTTCCCTCACTCGTGAACAAGACCCCAAGATACTTGAACTCCTCCACTTGAGGCAGAAACTCTCCACCAACCTGAAGGGAACAAACCACCCTTTTCTGACTGAGAACCATGGCCTCGGACTGGCATAGACTTTTCCCGAGGAGGCTGAGGAGTGTGATCCCACTGTAGTTGGAACACACCCTCCGGTCCCCCTTCTTAAAAAGAGGGACCACCACCTCGGTCTGCCAGGCTAGATGCACTGTCCCCAACTGCCATGCGATGTCGCAGAGGTGTGTCAGCCAAGACAGCCCCACAACATCCAGAGACTTAAGGTACTCAAGGCGGATCTCATCCACCCCTGGTGCCTTGCCACAGAGAAGCTTGTCAACTACCTTGGTGACTTCAGCTTGGGTGATGGACAAGTCCATCTCCAAGCCCCCGGCTTCTGCTTTTTCATTGGAAGACGTGATGCTGGGGTTGAGGAGATACTCAAAGTATTCCTTCCACCGTCTGACGATATCCCCAGTCGAGGTCGACAGTTGCCCGCCTCCACTGTAAACAGTTTTGGCAGGGCACTGCTTCCCTCCCAATCGCGACCCTCCAGGTGTCACTGTCATCGCCCACATGAGCGTTGAAGTCCCCCAGAAGAACAATGGAGTCCCCATCCGGGACATTTTCCAGCACCCCTCCCAAAGACTCCAAGAAGGCCGGGTACTGCCATTCGGCCCATAGGCACAAACAACAGTGAGAGACCTATCCCTGATCCAAAGGCTCAGGGAAACAACCTTTCATTCACCGGGGTAAACTCCAACACATGGTGGCTAAGCTGGGGGGCTATAAGCAAGCCCACACCAGCCCGCCGCCTCTCACCGCGGGCAAATCCAGAGTAGTGGAGAGTCCAGCCTTTCTCGAGAAGTGTGGTTCCAGAGCCCAAGCTGTGCGTGGAGGTAAGCCTGACTATATCTAGCCAGTACCTCTCAACCTCCTGCACAAGACTGGCCTCCTTCCCCACCAGCGGGGTGACATTCCATGTCCCCAGGGCTAGTCTCAGTGTCCAGAGATTGGGTCGTCGGGGCCCCTGACTTTGAACACTTCCCAATCCACTATGCACCAGCCCCTTACGGATCCTCCTGTAGGTGGTGGACCCATGGGAGGACATCCCCACGTCGCTCGTTCAGGCTAAGCAGAGCTGGGCCCCGTAGGAAGAGGCCCAGCCACCAGGTGCTCGCATTTGAGCCCCAACCATGGGCCTGGCTCCAGGGTGGGGCCCCGGTTGCGCTATACCGGGTGGCGTCACTGTCCTTAATTTTCATCTTTTCATAAGGGGATCTTGAACTGCTCTTAGTCTGACCCATTACCTAGGACCTGTTTGCCTTGGGAGATCCTACCAGGGGCAAATAGCCCCAGACAACATAGCGCCTAGGATCATTCGGGTACTCAAACCCCTCCACCACGATAAGGTGGCAGTTCAAGGAGGAAAGCCTAACTTGTTTGCTTTGGAAAACTAAAAACTTATTAACCTGTAATAGACCAGCAAGGCATAAAACACAGCAGCCCACCAGCACAAAACATAACTTCTGCTAGCCATAGGTTTAGCTGCAATACAAACACTGCAGTCAGCTCCAAACTATAAATAATTATGTTTTTCCAGTTAGCAGATAGATGAATATGGCTAACATTTTTTTTTTCCAAATGAACTTAACAGTCCAATTAGAATCAAAATTTTCTACAGGCACAGTCTCTATGCTTTTTAAGAGTAGGAGTTGTGGAGAAAGGTTGAAAATATGTATCTGTTGTCACAATAAAGTTATAATGTTGGCACAATACAAAAAATTATTTTTAAGAATCCCCCCTTTTGCAAGTTTAGATTATTTAGTTTATTTAATCCATTATGTTAAGGCAAGGCATTTGCTACACTGTCTCCCTTTTGGTTTGCCATTGACTTCCCAGTATGTATCTACTTACAGCATGACAAACATCAACACAGACAGCTGGCAAAGTCCATCCATTATCTATACCGCTTAGTCCTGAATAGAGTTGCAGGGGGGCTGGAGCCAATCCCAGCTGACACTGGGTGAGACGTGGGGTCCACCCTCGACAGGTCACCAGTCTATCGCAGGGCTGACATGTAAACAAACAACCACATGTTCCTATGGGCAATTTAGAGTCGCTGGTCAACCTCAGCTGCATGTCTGTGGACTAGGAGGAAGCCGGAGTACCTGGAGAGAACCTATGCAGGCACAGGGACAACATGCAAAATCCACACAGAAAGATGCTGGGTCAGCCCAGGCTGCTAACCACAATTACACCATGCCACCCAGTCAGTTTTTTTATCAGTTACATTTGAAAATAATCAAATTTGAAACTCCTTGCCTGAAGCTTTATGCAAAAATGTGTGAAACTCAACCTCAACACACAACTGATTGAGACCCATCAGTATCTGATCACTTTGGGAATGAGAGTGAGAGAGTCTAGATATCTGTTATGGCTAGCCATCAGGAATAACCACTGAGGACCCAGTAAATGCAGGACCTGGACACAGACTCAAAATCAAAACAATTTTTAATCAGTAGTGGTAACAGGAAGTATAAGATGTAGTGTGGACATTTCAGCTGGTCATGGGCAACTTGGAGCTGTGTTGACTGGACCGCTAGATGAGCAACCCAGGGTAGACGGCGAGTAGAGGCAACCACTGAATTGAAAGCAGAGGAGGAGGGTGAGAGGACTGAGCAGATCAGCAGTGATTGTTTATATGGGAAATAATGACGAGAACCTCGGTATGAGGAATTATTGTTGTGCAGGGAGGCAGGAGGTGGGGAGGTGGTGAGGTGCCTGCTGGCTGGTACGTGAATCCGCTGGCCGTGGAAGCCATGGTTCACAGAAGGTTCGGCTTCAGCCTAGCTCTACACCAGTGTGGGAGGTGCGCCTGGGTAACTTCGCCACCGTGGATGGAGTGTTCAATCCTACAGGATCTTCCTAAGAACATCTCAAACTTGTGAAGAGATTGCAGCATATGCGTCGGTTCAGAGAGAACTAAAAATGAGTGAAAACTCAAACTAGCGAGAAGACGGCAGGATTCAGTAAAGTGGACAAGAATCAATTCCCCAGAAACAACAGTTCATATGAAAAAATACTCAAGGGGATTTTGTCTGGCAGAAAGCAAATACGTAGTTCAGTTCACAGTTCAGAAAAATGTGCGAAACAATACAGCGATTACCAAGGCAAAAAAATGGAAACACAGGTTAGTCAGATTGGAAGCTTACTGAATGTTTGCGGGACATCGAGAGATCATCTGGCGATGAGAACACACCAACGCTCTCCTTTAAGTAATGCGCCGCTGATTGGGAGCAGGTGTGCCTTGCTGCCAGGAGCACTCCAGCACCTTTTGCGGCGGAGCTGTTGATGGACCCAGGGTTGGCGGATGAAGTGCTGGGAGTGCACTGATCCGTAGCCATAACAATATTAAAGGTTTCTGTCTTGACACTAAGAGCAAAACCACACTGCTGCTGCTGAACTTATTTAAAAATGATCCCAATTACAAAGCATTCCTCTGTTCTTATGTCTCCAGCAGATTTTTGCAATTAGAACCAATTCACAATGTTATAAAATAAGATTTTGTTATTATAAAAATAGACTTTTTTCTCCCACCTGTTTCTTAGTATGTTTACCATTCAGTCATGTTGATTCTCTACTTACTGTCACAGGGTTCCCCGTCAGCTGTGAATTACATCATCGATTTCCACACTGCCGCTGCGGCCAGCGACAATGAACCGGCACTGGTGGACGCCTTTTACCGCAGCCTGTCGGACCGCCTGAAGGATGCCCTGACAGCATATGATCGCCCGAGAGGACTGCGTCCTCTCATGGATTTAGTCACCCACCTTGAAGGGAGATTTCGGGAACACCAGCAGGAGCGCCACCGGGGATCATTGCTTGCCCGCTCTGGAGCATACGTCGTTCCCGAGCGCTGCATCAGAAACCCCGGAGCCCATGCAACTGGGGAAAACAAGATTAACGCCAGAAGAACGAGAACGTCGGTTCAGGCAGAATCTGTGTTTATATTGTGGAGGTCCCGGACATCGTGCATTCACATGTCCTGTAAAAGATCAGGGCTCAGCTGTTATATTACAGCAAAGCCTTCCTCTCATCCAACTGTACAGGCTGTATTATTTGTCCATATTCATGATATTAAAACACCTGTGTTCATTGATTCTGGTTCAGACGCATGTTTTATGGATCCTGCGTTTATTCAGGCACATAAGATAAGACTTGTATATTAGATCCGGCTCTTTTGGTACATTCTCTTAATGACAAATTCTTGCACCGGGTTACCACACAGACCACGCCACTTACGCTTACCATAGACAATCACATAGAAGAAATACAGTTTCTGGTCATGCAGTCTCCACATCATTCTGTTGTATTGTGTTATCCCTGGTTAGTGAAACATGGGGCCAGAATGGACTGGGGAGCAGAGTGAGTGGTAGAATGGGCCGCACAGTGTGCTACGACTTGTCTGTACTCCACGGTCCTACAATGCACCGAACAGGCGAGGCCAGTTGATGATATCCTGGAGTTAGTGAAGGTTCCGCCTGAATATCATGATTTAAAACAAGTGTTCAACAAAACCCGTTCCTCTTCCCTTCCCCCGCACAGACCCTATGACCGTGCTATAGAATTATTGCCAGGCACTGTGCCCCCTAGAGGCCGCCTGTTTTCTCTGTCTGTCCCAGAACAGCGGGCCATGACTGACTATATCACGGAGGCCCAGAGGGCTGGGTTGATTCGCCCATCCTCCTCCCCAACTGGGGCAGGGTTCTTTTTTGTTGGTAAGAAAGATGGGGGCTTAGACCATGCATAGACTATCGCGGGCTCAACAAGATCACTGTCAGGAACAGATACCCACCACCACTCATGTCTTCTGCTTTTGAACTGCTTCACAATGCCACGATTTTCACTAAATTAGACTTAAACGCCTGCTATCTGGTACGCATAAGGGAGGGAGATGAGTGGAAAACTGCATTCAACACACTGGCTGGACACTATGAATACCTGGTTATGCCGTTTGGGTTAATCAACGCACCAGCAGTTTTTCAAAACCTGATTAATGATGTTCTGGGGGATATGTTGAATGTTTTCGTGTTCATATACCTAGACGATCCTTATCTTTTCAAAACTCAACATGTAGAGCACGTCAGGGCAGTTTTACAATGGTTGTTACAGAATAATTTAAATGTGAAAGCAGAAAAATTTACCTTTCATGTGTCCACTGTGTCTTTTTTGGGGTTTGTAATTTCTACAGGCCACATCTGTATGGACCCTGCCAAGATACGAGCGGTTGCAGACTGGCCTATGCCTACCTCCCATCAACAAACCCAGCGGTTTGCTAACTTTTATAGAAAGTTTATCAGGAACTATAGCACTATTGCCACCCCGCTCCACAGGCTTACTTCCAACACCAAGCGCTTCGCTTGGGACATTGCAGCTGACCAAGCTTTCTCTGGTTGTCAGGTTTTTGTACCACCCGTTTTCGTTCTCGTACTTTTATTTTGGTGTTGTTTCCTGTTTCTGTTTTTGGTCTGTTTCCACCCTATTTAGGCAGCTGACACCCACTTGGCAGCTGCCAGATTGTGCTCAACCTATGCTCTGTCAGGTTTGCCTAGCTACACCTTCCTCTCTTCCTTTCCTCACACTAGCCTAGCCCTTGCACTGATTACACTATTCAACACACCTGCCCCGCTTCCCTGATTACTCACCAGCTGCACCTCATTAGTTTCCTCCATACTTATACACTGTTCACCAGTCACTCCCCTGCCAGTTCTTTCTCTGTCTTCAGGCCAGTGGTTGTTATGTTGTTTTATCAAGTTTATGCTAAGATTGTCTTTGTTCTCTCTAACCTTGTTAGCACCCTAGTCGTTATCCTGCCCTGCCGTCTCTAGTGTCTTCTTCCTCTTTGGACCTCTCCTCTGGACCCCCCTGGAATTAATCTACTCCACCAGCCACCGCCTCCCAGGTCGATGCACAGTCTCCCTTACCCAGTTTATCCCTGCTCTTCTGTCTACCTTCACTGTAAATAAACCTCACTGCTTGCACTGAAGCCAGCCACCTGGGTCCGCTTTTTATCTGCTCGCTCACTCTGTGTTCGAGCGCACCCTAACATGCTCGGACTTCCCATCTTTCCTTGTCATACCTGTTTTGACTACGGCTTGCCTGTGACCACCAAAGTTTGCCTGACCCCCTCTGCTTTGGACTGCTTACCTGGTATTCGGCTATCGGGCCTGTGTTCCTGACCTAAGTGTGTTTTGGATGTTTCGTCTTTGTGGTATCAGTTTGTGACTACAAATAAAAGACTGTTTTCCCTTTCCTCTCGTCTGATGTTGTAATAGAGTCCACCAATTAATCTGGTTGGTAGGTATAGTGGGCACACCTGGCATTTATGTTTTCATGTACACGGGCTTGTACCATGATAACTAGATATTTTCTAACACAGTTTGTATTTATGATTCAACCAATAGAGTTCTATGGTCATCCAAGCCATATGCTGTGAGCACTACAAACGCCTAAAAGACCAAAATCCTAAAATCAGATCAAGGGGGACAAAAATACACAATGTATACCTGTATAACAAAAACATATAACTTACCAATAGCTTACCAATTTTTCCTCTACTGAACATGTGCAATTGTATGCTGTGGTTCATATTTAGGCCAATGTTATAAAAATCTATTCTTAGCTCAGCATACAGTATACTGTGCATGTATTGACTACCAAAGGAGTGTTTTCCTGTAATGGAAGCTCCCTGAGACACATATTGCTGTCCACCATCCAGCCCCCAGGTTGTCTAAGCAGACCCATGAGCTCAGTCACTGACACAACATGGCAGAGACCTTCCTGAAAGGCACTCAGGGACCATATGGCAAATGACGCCAGGCCTGTGTTGTTTAACTGGAACTGTGTGGGTGGGGGGGATTACGTTGGCCTTGTTGTTATCCAAAGCCTTGATAAGAACCCTTTAATGTCCTTGTCCTTCAATGGAGATCACACAGTGCTGAAGGAGAGAAAGAGAAAGAGTGTGTCTAGGGAATACTGGTGGTGGGAAGTGGAAAGGAGAGGGTTGCCAAGGCAACTGGTTACTCAGCAACAAGCTCACCATAGAAATACACTCATGTTACATCAGTCTTGTTACTCCATAGCTCCCCCACCCCCATCATATCAGACTGAGAGCTGTTTAGTGAGCAAAAATCAAATCATTAAGGTATTAACCAAAGCCCTATGTAAACTTCATTTCTTTTGTATAGATGTTTGTTGCCTGAAACACTCCCTACCTAAAAATAAATCATGACTCTGCCACTAACTTAAAGGATTGAGTTTACTTATTTTTAATTCTGAGCTTTAAACTGACAGGCAGATTGGCAAATTCTAAGTAAGCCTCATTCAACAGTTGTTCTGGAGGAGCTACATTTGTGGTATTCTTTGCTATAAAGAACAGCCACCTGCAAGGGCTGCTTTGCTTGAAGTGCTGAATAGTATTTAGGTTACCATGGAAACATTGGGAGCATAAGTGAAATAAAGGGAGTGAGCACACTGGTCCTTTTCTGGGTGACATGGGAGTGATACTTTCTTTGTAGGCAAGAGGAATGTGAAAGGCAGCCTCATCTGTATTCTGTCGCATGAACCACCCCAAAGATATCCTATGCATAGTTGCTGTCACCCAAGGCTACTTCAGGATTCTCTGTTTTTCCTTAATTATAAACTTCAACACCTATGAAAAGTTTTTCTTTAAACAAGAGTTCTTCCAGGGCACCTAGCAGATAGAGTAACAGCCCTGCACTTAAACCTGAAACTTGTCACAAAGTGAAAAACAGCTTCTCCAGGCATCCAGGATACAAGCCACTGAGGGGAATAGTGTAGTGCCTTGCTTCCTCCCTGCAGTCTCTCCTTTTTAGCTGACAAAATGTAATTACAGTGCTGAACTCTGCTGACTGGTGCCTGAGCACCTAACCAAAACATTTGTGTAGAATCAGACCAGTGTCACTGGTAGCTGAACTTGAGTCACCTTCATCTGAGTCGTATAGAAATCTATAACCTAATAGGAGTGATCTGATTGGATGAGGAGCTGCATCACTTGGATTCCACTGTTGGCATATATGCAACACTGATGTGTCCAAAGATCTTGTGGTATTTAGCCATGCCAGTAGATTTAGTTTCACTTGGCTAGGTTTATAGATATTGGTCTACATACATTACTGGCTTGATCCAAATACAACAGAGATGAATGGAATATTATATATGGTGCTCACAATCCAACTGTACCAGCCATGGTCACATCAGAAAGTGGCAGAAAGGTCATTTATCATAAAATAAGTGGTGCTAGAAGCTCGGTAATATAGGAAACACATATAGGGCTTGTGAGCTAACCACTAACATGCTAGCCATTGAAGAACACATTAGCACTAGTCATGCTGCATTCATGTAATTTTGGCAGAATAGGATCAATGGCATGAACAGGAAAACCTAGCATTAGCTAGGTTTTTCTGGTAACGTTCATATATAATTCTGGGGTTGTCCCACTACTGGCCTTGTAGTCAAATCACATGAAGAGCCTATTAAAACTTTTGGTGTGTGACATATTTTTGGTGGGTTTTTTTAACAATTGAAAACAAATACAAAAAGCTAGTTGAACTTCCTCTTTATATTAATATACTTTTTTATTTAACTGTACAGCCATCTGCCAGCAATAGTGACTTTGCAGCCATGTTAACAGTAGTCTGTTGGTATTTCTATAGTTCTTTTTCATAGTTCTTAGAACTGTTTGGTCTGAAAGCACCTATATTTGTACTACCAACATTTGACTCATGGCTGGTTAAGTTTATTGTGTGCAATTTATACACAGAGGAAGTGTAATCAAAAGTGCAACACAGCTAATAACAATGGCTTCCTTCTTTTAGGTCTCCGCTGCTTCTTACTGCTTCAAAGGTCAGCACTGCCCAGACAGTTTGTGGACTGGATTCTGAACTTTCTGACCAACAGGCCTCACAATGTTAGGTCAGACAACAGCTGCTACTCCACCATTATCCTCAACACTGGCGTACCACAGGGCTGTGTGTTGAGCCCATTCCTCTACTCCCTTTTCAACCATGACTGCAGGCCAGTGCATGGCTCCAACACCATCATCAAGTTTGCAGACGACAACGATGAGTCAGCCTACAGGGAGGAGGTACAGTACCTGGCTGTGTGGTGCACTGACAACAATCTGCTCCTTAACATTAACAAGACCAAGGAGCTCATTATGGACTACAGGAGGGAGAAGGGAGGCACACACAATCCCATCCACATTAGCGGGATGGTTGTTGAAGCTTCAAATTCCTGGGGATCCACATCTCAGAGGATCTATCCTGGACCATCAACACCTGCAGCCTGGTTAAGAAGGTCACCAGTGCCTCTTCTTCCTGAGGACACTGAAGAAGAACCACCTGTCTTCAGCCATCCTGGTGAATTTCTACCGCTGTGCCACTGAGAGCATCCTGACCAGCTGTATCACAGTCTGGTATGGAAACTGCTCTGTCTCCAACCACAAGGCGTTGCAGTGGGTGGTGAAAACTGCCCAACGCATCACAGGGACCCCACTTCCAGTCACTGAGGGTGTCCACAGGGAACACTGTCTCCTCTCCCCACCCTGCTCCCAAACGGCCCTCTGGGGCTTCAGGAGCCTCTTGATCAAGACCAGCAGACTCAGGAACAGCTTCTTCCCCACAGTTGTCTCCTTACTGAACTCTGCCCCCCGTTGAGCCCCCACTGCCTTCTTCTATACCACTACACACACCTCACCCCTTCTCATCTCTCCTCCTGGGACTAATGCAA